AGAGGGACTGGCCCAAAGTCACCCAGCCGGCTTTCATGCCTAAGGCAGAACTAGAACTCACCATCTCCTGGATTCTAGCCTGGTGCCTTCACCACTAAACCAAACTGGCCCTAATTCCAAGGCTTAACTGTACTGAAAACCTATATTTTGAAGTAAACCCTATTTTGACTGCTTCTGAAATAGTTAAAGCCCTAATAAGGTTTTACTTTGGTTGAGTTTATGAAATCCCCAGCTTAAATGAAGGGAAAAAAACTTTTCATGCTATACCCTGTTTTTCTGTCTTTTCCAAAACTTTAATACATACATATATTTTTGTAGTTTAATTGGAAACATACACACACACACACCCCTCCATCCCTCCAGCAGGCAATAAAAAAATGAATATATCAAGCAATGCCTACTTTGAACTTTTCTGAAGAAAAATAAAAGCTAATCAAAACATTACACTTCTGAGTGCAAAAGATTTAACTACAGGTATGTGAATGAGCAAAGACACCCTCATAATGACTGCAGATGTGTGCAAAGCACATCTTGGAATATGAAGTTTGTTAAGTGTCTGGACATGCCCAGAATAACTACTCTAGGTATATTCAGAGCATACTGTGCAAGGATAAACATCTGTCACTTAATAAAGGGAGCAATGGTTACATGTCCTGGCACATCTGCACCTTGCCATGTCCTGCATCAGTGGAGATGACAATTGTGCTGGGGATGTCAGAGATGGTAAACCTTCTCTGAGAGGATAAATGAAGTTTAACCTGTCATTTAAAAAAATATTATATTATTACAAGACATAAGTAATATTTTATATTATTTCAAAACAGTGGTATTTATACAGTATTGACTAGAGATTATTAACACTCAGATAACTTAGACCTTTACAGATAGAAAAAAAAGAAAAGTGCTAACTATGATTTGAAATGTCAATGTTGTTCAAATTCTACATCCAAAACTAAATACAGCATTAATAAACAGCTGCAAACTACATCAAAATATTTGTTGTACAATAAAGGTTTCTGTCTTAAGCTGAATACTTAAGAGTAAGGTTTCCACTGTATTCTTACTTATTTTTTGTTTATGATGTCTGGTCATTTTTAGGAGTCTCAAAAACACAGAACTGTTGAGTTTAATCTTGTCCTCAGACAAATCTTCTCTTTGAAGAATGGCACATATCTCTTCATCCAGTTGGTTAGCAATAGTAGTCCTAAGAGTAGGTATTCCACCTTGCAGTTGTTCCATCCAGTGATGTGGATACATTTTTCTAGCATGGTCCGTGGTTTACCTGCCAAATATATTGCTCAGCAGAGGAATAGCAGCATCTAGTAAGGGCCCAATAAATGGGGTGCCTGATGATCTGCTTGATGAACTTTGAATGGTACACATCTCTTCATCCAGGTGATTTGTGACTGCAGCCCCACTCACAGGCATTCCACTCTGCAGAGTGTTTTAAAATACCTGAGTTTCTAGCACCCTCTGTTTCTTAAGCCTAACAATCCCAGGCTGCTCCACCACTCTCTCTTACTCCTCAGAGAAGTTGCAAGTATTCACCAAATCTTTCAATCTCTCAAATGTCACGTTATCACAATTAGTGCTGTTCAGTATAAACCCCTTCACCTTCAGCGCTGCTTTCCCATTATAAGAGTGAGTGAATAAGTCGTTTATTGACACAGTCTCCAGACCATTTCAAGTCCCCATTATATTTATTTATTTTATTTATATATCAAATATATACAGCTGCCCATCTCACAAGAAGTGACTCTGGGCAGTGTACAACAAAGATATAAAACAATAAAACATGTCAAAAAATCATTATTAAAAAGTTTAAAAGGCATTAAGCTCACAAGAGATTAGATTAGCAAGGGAGCCACCTCAGGATCTCACGGCAGAGAAGACCCACCTCCTCAGGCCCACCAAGTATAATTTCCTAATAGACGAGACCCACAACCCAACTCTTCTGCTGGATCTGATGGGACAGGCAGATGTAAGCAGGGAGAGGCGGTCCCTCAGATAACCTGGCCCCATGCCATGAAGCACACCCATCCATTCTGAATCAAATTCATTGATTTGGGTTTTTGGTGGGATCTCACTTGCCAGTTGCCCAACATAATCACTGAATGGTGGTCTCCATATCCCTTCCCTGTGGAAAAAGAAGACTGAATCAGTGTCACGATACAGGCATAACTGTTGTCTCAAACCTCCAGGAACCTGCGCAATTCCAGCCATGTGGAAGCTGCAGTAATGAATACACGTGGTTTGGTGAGGTGTTATTCGGCAGTTTTCCATTTCACCATGGCTGTCTCTGTGTCCATAAACTCACATGAAGGAACTTCATAGTGAGGCATAGAAAGATACTTGAACAATTACTCTGGGCTTATCGCTATGGATGCAGTTGCACGGTTGGTGCTGTGCCCAAGCTTATCCCACAGTGTGTTTAAAAGAGCTTAGAATTCTTTCTTTTGCTATGGTTCGCTTTGATGCGCTCATGTCGTAAGCGGATGCCTTCCTCCTTCTCGTAATCCTGAATATAGTGGTCTTTATCCTGTTCCGTTTTGACCAGTCAGGGTACCCACTGGCTCCCTGCTGGTGTCTGAGATGCATTTTGATATATTTTAAATGTATTGTGCTTGCCATTCTGTTAAAATTACAGACGTCATAGATTTCAGCAATTCTGTATCCCTTCTCTAAAGCAACATTCAGTCAGGCCCCATTGCCCTTGCCTTCTTCCTAGGGCTGAGAGAGAGTGATTCACCCAAAATCGCCCAGCCGGCTTCATGCATAAGGCAGGACTAGAACTCAGACCCTCCCAGTTTCTAGCCTTTACCCACTACACCAAATTGTCTCTCACATTTTAACTTTAGCAAGTCCAAAATACTGATGCATGTCCCCCAAATTTTGATAGATTATTTGCAGATGACCTTTCAGGTATTTTTGTTGTGGCTGTTCACAAGTGGATACAAACTGGTGAAATCATAATATAAGATTTGTTCCAGAGTTTGGCCTGAGGTGTACACATGTAGCAACTGTTCTATTGCCACACTGAGCATTTTGTAGGTTCAAGGTGGTTGGGAGCTTCTTCCCAACTACAGATCAAGGAGTCAGAGTTGGGGACATCGTATTATGCTGGTTCTCCCCCTTCCTCTGGGGTCAGTTCCAGTTGGTGTACATGGAGGTGGGGGGGCTGGGAGATTTTGCCTACAGCTCCTCTTATGTGGAGTGCCTCAGGGCTTTTTCTCTCTCCACTTCTGTTTAACATCTATGTGAAGCTGCTGAGTGAGGTCATTCAATGGCACAGGGTGAAGTATTATTAATATGATGATACTCAGTTACCTCATGACCAGAAATTTCGGCTTCTGGAGTTAGCAGTGATGAAAATGTTGCACTAACTGCAGAGCATGAACATGGACTGTGCCTTCCCATATGCATTCTTTTAACCCATAGCCCCTCCAATCAAATATGTATGGTGGCAAGAGTCCAAAATATGTGCCACTTCATATTTGGGTTTACCTTGGACAAAGTCTGGTGGTAGAGCAGGTGTGAAGACGGTGTGGGATTATGGGAGCAACAGGGACCAGTAAGGAATGGTGAAACATGGGGTGTACTTTGAGGCTGGGTAGAAGCTTGATCCAGTACACCCCTAGGTTGACTACAGCTTCTACATGAAATGGATCTAGGAACTAGTGGTCTAGTGGTTTTTATAGCTGTTGTATTGCAGGTGCTTCCTAGACATCCATACCAAGTCCCCTCATGCCAAGGAAGTCCCAGGCTGTCAATGTCAATCAGCAAAGTTTTTGTGGATTTCCTTGGCCTTCTGAAGCTGTCCTGGAGGACTTGATGGATTGCTTGTAGTTCCTGAAGAAGGCTATCTGTGGCTGGAATAGAGGATACTGGTTGTGTCAATGGGGGAAACTACTGATGGAACCTGTAAACAGTGTAGACGTATGTTGTGAGTTGTTGTAGGTAGCTTCTGCAAAAGCCAGACGTTCCATCTAATTGTTCTGGAAACTGACAAAGCACCTTAAGTACTGCTCCATAATCCTGTTCACTAGTTCAGGCTAACTATCTAACTGGGGATAATATGCTATTGAGAGATGAATCTTGACACTGAGGCTCTTAAACAGTGCCTGTCAAAACCTGGCAATGAATTGTGGGCTGCAGCTGGAAATCAGATGGTTCAGAAGTCCATGTAAGCAGAAGATGTTTTGTAAATAGCTGGACTATGTCTTAAGCTATCAACAAACCCTAACACAGCAAAATATGAGCCATTATACACAAGGTCAAGATGATGTGTCTCCTTTGGATTTAGATAAATCAGTAATGAAGTCCAAGAAGATGGTGATCTGAGGCCTTATTAGTGTAGGCAGAGGAAACAGAAGACCTGACCGCTTACTGGGAATATTCTATGCCTATCTACACATCAGGTAGAAGGCAGTGTATTGATTTATGTCAGCTTATAAACTTATAGCCACCAAACATTCTTCAAGACCAGGTGTAGGATCTTGAAGAAACTAAAGTGACTAATTAATGTGCTATCATGGCATAGCCACCCCATAGCAATCAGGTGACCAGATGATGCAGAATGGCCTCAGAGGAAAAGGAGGTCTTTAGGGCTTTGAAAGCCTTGGTGAGCCTTATCTGACACAAACATAGTCTTTTTTTTCATAGGAGATGGGCCAGCAGCACTGTGAAGTGTGCAAAGCCAGGTATAAATCCTTTGTAGTCATTTCAAAAGACAAGCAGATGTTGAACATCTTTGGCCTTGCACAGTGGTTGCTAGGTTTAGAATGCTTCCACCATGGCTATATCCATGGCAATGCAGCAGGAGAAATGTGATGACCCAAGGAATCAATGGTAGTTTCCTTAAACTTGCATTTATATCAATTTGGCAAACAACTAGCTCTCTCAGAGGCATTGCAGCACAGTGCGTATATGTTCTCATACACTATGAGGTTCATGAATTAGATGAGCATGTATCCAAGTAAATGATGATATCAAAAAGGTCTCTGATGACATCATTCATGGATTTCTGGAACACCACCAGAGCTTTGAATAAGCCAAATGGCATGACCATTCAAAATGGCCATACCAGGTGTAGAACATGGTCTTCCATTTATAGCCATCACAGATTTGACCAGGTTGCACTGCTGCCACAGGTTGAGTTTGGTGGGCATTCAGGCATTCTGTAAACACTCCAAATATTCTGGGATTAGCAGCTGGGAGTAGCAATTCCTGATTATAATCAGGTTTAGCTGGTGGTAGTCATTATATAATTTCAGTTTGTCCAATTTCTTTTTGACAAATAGGACAGGGGCAGGGGCAGGTGAAGATGAATATAAATTCCCTCCACAGATACTTGTTGATGAAGTCCCAAAGGGCCGCTAACTTTTGCTCTGACAGAGGGTAAATTTGGCCCATCATGATTTTGGCACTTGGAACCAAATCTATGGGACAATGATCAGCTGATGCAGGAGTAGCTGGTTACCCTCCTTCCCATAGAATACATACACACATTCCTTATACTTTCTGAGCAAACTCTGGGGGAGTTCTTCTGTGTGTTTGGCAACCACAGTCTTTGGAACAGAGGTGACATGAGATTTGCAGCAGAGGGTCCCAGATGTGATGGCTCCCATGGACCTCACAATGTGGGGCCATTGGCCTGGAACCACTCAAGTCCCAAAATGATTAGGAGATGGGAGGGCAGAGGCAAGGCAAAACTGATTGGTTCCTTGTGGCTTCCCAACCTCATTTGGAGTTTGTTTGTTGTCCAGGCCATAGCAGATTGATGTTGTCCATCAATCATTTCAACAATCAGTGGAGGCTGGATGGCATGCCAGAAAATCTCGTGGTTTTCAGCAAATTTAATATCCATAATGTTTGCAGTGGCCCCTTAATTTATTATGGCCCAGGTGTGCAGCTTTAGCGTGTCACAACTCTGCAGCACCACTAATTAATAAAGAAAGGACAAAGGTGTGACTTTTTTTCTGTGAGCCATGGGATGTGTCAATGTGTAATTAACTAATTCTTCACATCATAATAATCTAATTCTATAGTTGTTCTCCATGTACAATATGCTATCCAGTTTTTAATTTTAGTCACCTCTCATTTTTGAAGTATCATAATTGAACAATAGAAATCAAAATACTTCATTCACTGGTGATTTTCACAGAGAATAGGCAGGGAGAGACTATTGCTAAACTAACTCTGCTTCATTCTTATGCATAGGGCCAGAAGGTTCAGAATGTGTTTGAAATTGTTTCAGAAAGTTAATTTGGAAGGGGAAAAAAAGCCTACATACACCATGAGAAATATTTGTTATAACTTTCTTAATCACTCTTCTCATTACAGAAGATACACGCAAAGTGCATTACATATTAAAAACAGCTCAGGCTGGCACCAATTACAATTTTAAAGTGTGGGCTAATGACAAGAAAATTACATCTCTCGTCTGAGTTTACTAATTGAGTAACAGTCCATTCCTCCAGGGTGACTGGCACAGATCTCTCTATCAATCTTGTGTGGAGACTGGAAGGCTGAGGCAAGAGGAATTCAGTTCTATGACACCCCTTCTCTCCCTCTTCTACAATGCTCGGCTTCGGTCTTCCTTTCCAAACAGACACTTGGGGCATAATCAAAGCAATTCTGAAATCCCATGGTGCCACATGTTGCCTGACCAATGACCTGGTATAATACAAAGCAGCCCAATGTGTGCAAAGCTCTTTTTGGAGAGGCCTTTTTATTCCAGTGCTCGAAAGGAGGCAGGGTTGGGAAAAAGAAACGTAACTGAAAGGTAGGGATAGCAAGGGAAGACCCTCTCACTCCCATCATACATGGAATTCCTCTTTCCCCTACAATGAAGGGTGGAGGCCTGCACAGGGGTTTTGATTCCTGTAAAATGTTCCACACACACACCCCACACACACATTTTAAAAAATTATGGCAAGGCACTCATATGGGAGAATGTACAATTTTAAAAATCAAACCTGCATCAATCCACAAAGACTCATCTTTTCATATGACCCAAGTCTTGTTTCTTGGCCATTCTAAAGTATAGCAATCAGTGCAATCCATAGTTCTTATAAATAAACTTGTTAAAGTTACCAAATTATGAAGTTTAATAAATTTAATGTACATGGTTAGAAA